AATATTTATTTTTAAATTATTAAATATTTAAAAATTAGTTAATATTTAATTTGATGTTAAAAATTTAATATATATATATATATATATTTATATATATGTTTAAAATTAATTTTACTTACGGTGAAAATCAAATTGTCGTATTCAAATTATGAATGTAAAGTTTAAAAAATTTAAATTGATTTAGTCAAATAAAATATTTAATAAATGATAAAAATTAAAATTAAAATAATTAAGATTTTAAAATTTTTATAAATTCTTCGGCCAACAAATTGCTTGAATTTCAAATCAAAATATTTTATTTTTAAATGAAATTAATTAATATATTACTAATACTATCATGGAAATTATCGGTTGGTTTGTGATAGTATTAGTAGGAGGGCTAGGAGTCTTATTAGTTAGTGTGTGTTTGTTTTTACTCTGTCAACTTAGACATGATTTGGAGAAACAACTATTAATCATTTTTTGTGCGTTATGACATAAAAATGTTAAAAAACGTGGATCACAGAGGTAACCAAACAAGCACTTAATCTTTTTGTCAAATCAATCGCAGTCAACGTCTTTTTCCTTAACGCGTTTTGTTCCTTCTTTTTTGATTTTTGGAGATTGAACTTCACATCTTACTCATGAACTACACCCTTTGGTTCATTGTGGCCAACTGTATTATATTAAATAATTAAGAGAAATGTTATTAATATATTATTTTTTACTAGTTGAAATTTTGTAAAATCCTCTTTTTTGTTTAATGATATTTTTTTTGATCCATTTTTGTTTAATGAAATTTACTGATAGTTTTATAATTTTAAAATTTTTAAATAATAATAATTTTTTGTTAAATATTTTATATAATGATATTAATAAAAAACTAAACTTAGATGATTTAATAAAAATATATTTCCAAATGCTAATTACTTAATTACCGATGATTTTATAAAATCGTCATCTTAATATATTACCTTATCAATAATAACACTAGAAATATAATTAAAAATATAAAAGTGAATACTTTATAAAATTAGAAATTAAGAAAAGTTTTATAAAATTATAGGGTGCATTCAAAAATTATGAATCTGAAAGATATGTGTAGATAAATAATATTTTAAATCGTTGTATTACAACTTTATTTTTCAAAACAATGTGAAATATGAGTTGCTAGCATTACTTTTAAATTATCTGTAAACCAAGAATCCTATATATACTTATATCATTGGAAGCAAACTAATTCACATTCATTTCAAAATGGGTTATAGATACTTCATGAGTTTCTTGTTGGCTTTATGCCTCTCTTGTCCTCACAACGTTTTGGTTGCTCAAAATTTGCCATACAAAGCTGTGAATCTAGGAAACTGGCTGGTTACTGAGGGGTGGATGCAAGAACCCTCTCTGTTTGATGGAATTGTCAACAAAGATCTCTTGGTATTATTACTCTCTAAGAATGAATTCACTTCATTTTGATGGAATTTTAGTTATCATTTCACAAATTAAACACCATGCATCATTTTCTTTCTTTGTCTTCTTGAGTAAAATTATGGTTTGCAATTAACTTGCATAAATAATTCTCAAGTCTTCAAATTAAGAAGTTCAGAGTTGTGTTGTATCCGTAAGGGAAGTTATATCATGATGGTACCTTTTTATCTTTTTCAGTTAATAGACAAGTTTTTGATATTTGGTCATTTCAGGATGGAACTCAAGTGCAACTTAAGTCAACAAAGTTTAACAAGTATCTCGCCTCTGAAGATGGGGGTGGAACTGCTGTTGTGGCCAACCGTGATTCAGCTTCAGGTTGGGAAACATTCAAGGTACTTATGTGATTTCAATTGCAAGCATCTAACTTCAATTATGATAAATTTTTAATTATGTGTATTTGGAATCACATTTACTTGCCTAATTGTTTGTTCCTACGCAGCTTTGGAGGGTCAGTTACTCATCCTTCAATTTGAGAGTGTTCAACAAGCAATTTGTGGGGCTAGAAAATCAAGGGAGTGGAAACAAAATTGTGGCAGTTGCAAACTCACCTAGCGAGCCAGAAACATTTGCGATTATAAGGAATAATGACGACCCCTTCAAAATTCGAATCAAAGCATCAAACGGTCTGTTTTTACAGGTACATCTTACACTACTTTGAATCTTAAACACATCTCTATAAGGTTAAAAAAGTAATTCTTGTTACTTGGAAGCCTTAATACTTTTGTTTTGTCAAAGATTCAATGCTAACTAGTGATATGCCTAAAATAGTATATGAATGAGGAGTAACACTCACTTTAAGAACTAAATTTGGAGTTGAGTTAGTCTTAAATCTAAATTTCAAGGTGTTATCAAAGTCAATACTAATAATTGTTGTTTGACTTATTAAATCATCAACATATGTTTGATTCTTAGCACGAGGTATCTTACATTAATTAGTGATATGACCAAATCAGTATATAAAATAAATAGCAAACCCTCAAACCATGAACTAATTTATGTTTTTTACAATTTTACATAGGGTGAATGGCAATTCTCTGTCAACCCTTAGATATATAAATACTTAGAAATGTCAATTCTCATGATAACAAATACTATTCACATCAGCATTTTTCTGTCCTAAACAAAATGAATTTGCTTTTGTATAACTTTGGACAGAATAGTTAAAAGTTAAAACAATTATATTTAGGTCCCTAATTGTTTTTTTTCATTATATTGGGTATTGTGTATGTGAAGGTTCAATCGGAGACATCAGTGACTGCAGATTATGAAGGCACAAATTGGGATGAAAGTGACCCATCAGTCTTTCGTATGAATATTGTTCCAAACACCGCCTTACAAGGAGAGTACCAACTTACTAATGGTTATGGTCCTGAAAGAGCTCCTCAAATCATGAGGGTGAGAAATATTAGAAACTTTTAATGACAAACCATCATGGACTTGCCTCAATTCATTGCTAGAATTCCAACATTATCTTCATACTCTGGCTTTGTAGGATCACTGGAGTACATACATAACTGAAGATGATTTCAGATTCATGTCAGAGAATGGCTTAAATGCTGTGAGAATACCTGTTGGATGGTGGATAGCTAAAGATCCAAACCCACCTAAGCCTTTTGTTGGAGGATCATTGGCAGCATTGGACAATGCTTTCATTTGGGCACAGTAAGTATGCTTATTGGAATTGTGGCCCAAATAATATTATAATATACCAATTCCTTTTTTAGTTCCTTTGAATTTTTTTGGTCAGATAGATTTGGTTCCTATATTTTTTTAATCCCTGTTATTGTTCAATGATGATGCAGCTAGCAAATGTATATTTGAGAACATGCCTAATGTTTTCTAAAAATTAAAATAAAATCTTTCAACATAAGAGGGACTTATATAAAAAGTTTACAATTTTGTAAAAACTAAAAATATAACTTTAAGGACTATAACCGGAAATTTTTTTTGTAGAAAACAAAATTGACGAAAAAAATCATAGGAATTAAAGTTTAAAACCATAAAATAAGTATACCACAGAAACATATTTAAGCCTTAATATGCAACAATTGTGCAACATTTAATTTAGCTCCAATCCATCAATGTTTCGTTATTTACCATTCATGTGCTATTTAATTTTATAACTTGCAGAAACCATGGGATTAAAGTGATCATAGACTTGCATGCAGTAGAAGGTTCACAGAATGGCAATGACCACAGTGGCACAAGAGATGGATATACAGAATGGGGAGATTCATACATACCAAACACAGTCCACGTCATAGACTTCTTAGCAGAAAGGTATTTTTTACTTCTTTAAGAATGGTCCCTTCATGTGTATATTTTTAAGACATAGTGAGTAGTTAAATTATTACTTGAAAGATAATGTCTGGTCATGTTAGTCCCTAAATGAGAAATTATATATGTGGTTTCCAAATTTGAATTTAATTGTCAAAATAGTTCCTGAATGATTACTCCACCAATCAAATTAGTCTGGGATTCATGAGATGATAACTGATTTGAGTGAAGAAGTGCACATATATATATTCAAGAATCTTAGCTTAAACATTATTTTCAACATGTGGGGACTAACATAATCGACTATATTTTTGTCAGCATGAGAATATATATATATATATATATATATATATATGACTTGCTATGGTTTAAGAATTGGTATCTATATACTTGAATTTGTTGACACTTGACAGATATGGTAACAGACCAAACTTAGGGGGCATAGAGCTGATGAACGAGCCACTTGGTGTGAATCTAGAGAGCCTAAAGAAGTATTACAAGGAAGCATATGATGCTGTGAGAAAGCACAATCCAAATGCTTATATCATCATGTCAAACCCTTTGGATGCAGATTCTAAAGTGCTTCTCTCATTTGTGGAAGGCTTTGACAATGTAGTCATTGATGTGCATTACTACAATCTTTATTCAAGTAAATTCAGCAACATGAATGTTCAACAAAATGTTGAATACATAAAAAATGAACGAGCTTCAGATCTTAAGGGTGTCTCCTCCTCAAATGCTCATAGTTTTGTTGGTAAAATCCAAATCCTAACCAAAGATTTAAAAAATTGTTGTCTTACATATATATTGAGAATGGCATTATGATTTTTATTGGTAGGGGAGTGGACTGGTGAGTGGAGCATAAATGGTGCGACTAAAGAAGATTACCAAAGTTATGCCAAAGCACAATTGGAAGTGTACTCTCGTGCAACTTTTGGATGGGCCTATTGGGCCTACAAGTGTAGGTATGGCCATTGGAGCCTCAAATGGATGATTGAAAACGGTTACATTAAGCTCTAGATTTTGGATCAAACTAACCTCTAGATTTATTGTGGACCCAAAATGGAGCTTTGGGTTTTTCTTTTGTTGAATAAAAGGGGCCTAAGTCCACAGGTTTAGCGAAAAAGAACATTTTGTTTTACATTTTTCTCTTGCATTTTGTTTTACTTTTTGTTCTGTTTTCCTATCTCCCCTTGTTTGTTGTCTTTCCCCAGAATTTATTTCAATGGAGGACCCTCTATTTTTAAGCATCTTTTTCACTTATCATTATGGTTACTTTGGATGAAGAGTACAATAGAGAGAAAATAAACAAGAGATATGAAAATAGTAAACAAAAAAAAAATTTGTGTTATTTAGATGGACAGAAAGGGGAAAAAAAGAAGTGATTTTTTTTTCTATACTATTTTGTTTAGTTGAATGGAAGAAAAAATTAAAAATAAATAAATTATATAAAAAATTAACGCACAATTTAAATCTTATGTTATTATTTTTTGTTTACATAAAAGGTCCATTTAATTTTTTAGAAAACAAAAACAGACGTGAAAAAGCTTCTCCATCCCCTATTTCATCTCATTTGAGGAGAGAATTATTCCTAATTTTCATAAAGGAAATTAAAAAAAATAAAGAATTTTTCCTAAGTTTAAATTACTTTTGAACATTGTTTTAAAAAATTATATTAGTTTTATAATGTTACTTTTTGTGTTCAATAATGACATACATATATAAAATGATAGACTATTTTAGTACTTATTTTAAAACTAAAATAAATAAAAATTGAATTAAATTTTGTGCATGATACAATTAGTAACATTAGTATCATTATATATCCGAATTAATATAATTTTTCTTAGTTAGTTATTCAATCGAATCATACTTTTATTTTTTAAATTACTTAAACAATACTACATTCATTTGCAAATAATATTAAGTATAAAAATGTTTATACGTTAGCATTAAAACAATTTGTTATTAATTAAAAATTGTTATCCACAGAAAATTATAGCCCAATACACGTTAGGTGTAGTGATTGATTAGGTGTAGGGGTAGTGACCAAGGAATGTATTGGGTGCGGTGATTGATTCTATTAATTGAGAACTCTCCACATGAAAATTTTGTTCTACTTAATTATCCCAAATGTATCATGTTTTTTGTGATTCTATTACCTGTTTTTTGTGAGAAGAGTCAGTTGTCCTTCCTTTGTAAACCATTTGCTATAAGGTTCAAAATCTCCATAAAAAAACTATTGCTAGCTACTTCAGCAACATTGCATTACATTGTAGGACACTAGTGACATGCTCTCTTAAACTGAAGAATTTTGTATTGCTTGAATGAATGAATCAAAGAACTATGACTAAACATCATTGTATGCAAATTCAGGACTTCATGTAAATGGGATTTCGGTGAGAATTTTTATGAGATTTCCATGGTTTAATTTTCCTCTTGTTTGAGAATAATTCCATTTTGGTTTTGACAGGTCTTCTAGGGGGTTGCTTGCTTTAATTTTTCTCGTGTTAGTCAGGTGCGTTCAACTTCCAATGAAGGATAACTGTACTTTTATTTTTCCTCCATCTTCATTTTGTGTTCAACTTCCAATGAAGGATATACCGTATGGTGGCCGACTAGGCCGAACACCCGAACCCGCAAGTAATCGGACCGAACACCCGAACCCGTAGATGGTGAGGCCGATCATCCTAGCCAACCGACTACTTATAAACGAGCGAAACGTATCGGTGTGGTCGGCCAATATCAGTGCCCCTGCCAGGCTGGTTACGGATAGTTTAATTAGCGTAATACACTGGATTAGCCCCCTAATTTTCCGGGGCCCAATCCTTAATCACGGCCCAATACGAACACCTATAAATAGAGCCCTAACGAGGTATGTAACTAACTTTTAACTACCACATTTATTACGCCGAGAACTAACTTGAGCGTCGGAGTGTCTTTGCAGGCACCCCCCACCTTGCTTCGGATTACTCGGACAAGAACGAGAAGATCAAGACTTAAGACCCGACCCGCTACGACTAAGATATTGGAGTGTATCCTAACACAGGAACAATAATCTTAGAAATCATGTGATTATAATTATTATCCTACAAACTGTGACCATGTATGTCTGGGAATTTGAGTAACAATCAATTAACAAATTTTGGATTGCTCAATAAAATTTGTTTCAGGATATTCTTCGCCACTCAAACCAGATGTGACAATACATGATTTACTACAAGATTTCAAACGAATAGAATTTCATAAAGCCTACCTTGCAGCTCTGCTTAGAGCAATAAGGTGAGTTATGAGGGATAATAATATATCATCAACATCTTTGCTTAAATTGCTTTTTAAGGTTGTTTCCAAATTCCAATTAATTTGTTTGTTGATAAGGGTTAATTTTGTTATGTGCAGGAAAGGTGCTGATGTAAGAGGGTACATGATATGGTCATTGTTGGACAACTTTGAATGGACAGGTGGCTATGATGTAAGATTTGGGCTTTATTATGTGGACAGAAATACTATTCAACGTATTCCCAAACTTTCTGTTCAATGGTTTTCTAGTTTCCTCAACAACACTAGCCACACCATCAAACAAGAAGACATGAGAGAGCAACATCTTAGAAGAAAAGATGTGAGAAATGCTGGTTTTGATTTTTAATAAGGGGATTAAGGTTCGAACTTCACAACTGGCAATTAAAATCGAAATGAGAAGTAATGTGATAACAATATTACAGAGTCCTTAAAAAAACAATGTTATAGCTGATAAAAGGAAATTATGAGTGTTTTTTTTTTTTTACAACTTTAATGAAATTCGATCATATGAACCTGTGTAACTTCAAAGAATGAGTATTGATGCTTTATCATATATATATATATATATATATATATTAAATATGAACGTTTTTATTTTTTTGACAATAACATTTTGTTATAGATTGTTTTAATTCTTTTGACTATTTATTTAAATCAGATTTTATTTTTTGTAATTATTTATGTATTAAATTTTAATATTTTTTATA